TTGCCGCCGCGCGACCGACAAAAAAAAAAAAAAAAAAAAAAAAACACCTTAATGAAACCTCCGCCCTGACACCACCGCCGGCCGGAGTTACGAACGCCTTTTCGAACTCAGGCCCTGACACAGATGTCGATGCCTTTTTTTTCTGCCCATTACGAACTCCCATGTGACATAAACGTACTTCCCCCTTTAATTTTTTATTTGTTTTTTCCCAAAGCCAAGGGTGTTGCAGAGGCCAAGGACCAGACCCGCGGTGATTGCTGGTAGCGGCAGCCAATGGTTGTCCTGACAGGATCGGCTACCTATTCTAGTTTCTGTTGGGTTTTAGCCATTGTTGCGCTCACTACTCCTGGTTGGGATGCAACCGGGGATGAGCTTGGCTGGAGAGCCTCGCATATCCCTGTGGCTGCGGCATACGATGTGAGGGAAGCGGTGAAATAGGCTGGAAGGGGAAGGAGTTGAGAAACCCATCAGGAGATACTTTTTTTTTTTTTTTTTTTTTTTTCACCTGCCGACACTGCGACGGGTGGCTATGAAACATAACACTCATTGAATGCGCGTTTCCCGTTCAAAAATGCGCGTTCAATGAATGCACACAAACGCAGAGTTCAATTCCGCGGTTGAGGAGGGGGCGCTCCAGGGAAGGTGTCCTAGGGGGTCTATTAGGGGTGCTGGCACCCCCTGGCCCCGGAAAAATAATAAAAAGGGAAAGAAACAAAAAGACGGGAAAATATCAAGTGTAGTATCTGTTCTGATCAGTTTTTTTTTTTTCTTTTAAAAGAGAGAGCCCACTGCCCAAGGCTCCAATTATGAAATTGATTACAACACTTATACGCACGCCTCTTCCCATTAGGGATGGAAGAGCCAAAAAGAGTTTGTGTGGCAGTTGAGTGACCAGAATCCTGCTGTGGAGTACTCATGATCCCATGGTCACTATTTTACACGTATTACCCGAAAAAGTAAGAAGAGCGTTGTTCCCCTCCTCCTCTCCTTAACACTGGGCATGTCGGTGCAAAGGAAGCTTCCCGCCAAAATCTTTTCAATCCGTTGGGGGTATGGCCAACCCCAAAAGAGAGTGGGGTCGGCCATAGGCCCATTGGATAGAAGATTTTCAGTATTTTGCTTGTTGTTGTGCTATTGTCTCATTGGGTGGAACCCTCCTTCAATCACGGAGTATATGGAGGGCGTCATGATCACTGCTGACAGAAGTTGAGTTTATTCCAGAAAATGTGGCAGTTACTTTCTACACTGCTGTTGCAACCACCACCATCAGATCATTTGTAATTTGACGCCTGGGAAACACTCTGCCGTGATTTCAGGTGGCAGGTCTCTGTTTCTTTTCTTTTTTTTCGCCTTTCTCCTGTCAGGCCACTGCCACTCAGTGTCACACTGGATCGGCCACACTCCTATCCGACAGCTAATGGGACGATTATCCTGGAGACAGCTTTCCTGCCTAACACGAATACAGCATTGTGACAGGGCATTGATTGTTTCCCCAGTGAGGAAGGATTAACCCCATTTGTGTGCAGAATCAATCTCTGCCCTACGAAACTCCTCAATTATCCCTACTTCTATCTTCTGCATGGTGAGGAGTAGGGGAGATATGAACAAGGCAAAAGGATTGATAACAGGGCGAGAAGGTATAGTAGTTCATTTGTAATTACGATAAGCGTCCCCTAAACAGCAGTAGTTAACACAGACACAAACCCAAGGGGAGCACTGTAGTTTGAAGAAAATTTTAATCTACACGTGAAGACCATTAAACCAAGTCAAACCCTAGCCAATGACGACCAAGGATTGAATCTGGCGCCATTAAATGAAGATGGACTCAGATCAAGTGCCATGAGAGAGGAAGAATTCACCAAACTGGCGAGAACCACACAGATGAAAAAAAAAAAAAAAGGAGGGGGGGAGGGAGGTAAAGAGAACAAACCAAGAAGTCATCCCTGCCTCCCGACCCCCCTCTCCGCAGCCTCTCATCTTCCTCCCGAATCCCATGGAAAAAACTCGTCATCCTTCCACCCGTCACCGCATCGCCATATCAACATCATCTCATGCACGACAAAATCTTCGTGCGAGAAGGTGGGAAGAAACCGAATAGCCCTCACCATAGTAGCTGGCCCATCGACAGATCTTGGTTGGACTCTGATTGTATAGAACGAAGCGGGCAAGCCAATCGTGGCTGAAGATTGTATTTCAGATGCCATCGTCGGGATTGTTGTTGTTGTCGTTGGAAAAATAGTTGGTGTAGATGATATCGTGGTTCAACTTGGCGATGATGATGTGGATAGTGTGTCAGGATCGCTGTTGTTATCGTTGGAAAGATTGTTGGTGTAAATGATGTCATCGCGGTTGGCGCTGTTGATGTAGAAAGTGTTTCAGATGTCATCATCAAAATCGTAGTTGTTGTTGTTTGAAAAATTGTCGGTGTTGATGATGCCATCGTGGTTGGCACTGTTAATGCAGATATAGTTGACGAACCTATTTCAAATGTAACAGCGATTTCGTCAAAACGGACATTTTATATTTTTTGAACGAAATTGAAATTGTCATTTTTGAGATGATTGAAGTGCAAAAACCATTACAAATGGGCGTTTTGGTGTGAGGGGTAAGGGGTAAGGTATAAGGGGTAAGGTATAAGGGGTATGGTGCAAGGGGTAAGGTGTAATAGGTAAGGTGTAAGGGGTAAGGTGTAAGGTGTAGGGGGTTAAGGTGTAAGGTGTATGGGGTAAGGTGTAAGGTGTAAGGTACCATGCAAGGGGCAAGTGACACAGTGCACCGAGGAATAATTAACACCTTATATACATTGTTTTTTGTCAAGCGCCATCTCGTGCCAACCACGTCCGCCCCCTTCGCAATCATACTGTATAATATCACGTACACACTACTCACGAACCACTGTGTCCAATGCCATCCGACGACGTATCGCGGGTATGTCATCTACGGTGAAACAGAAAGGTGGAAGTTGGCCCCGTGCCAAAAGTGACGAGTACGTGAGTACAAAGATCCCACATTCGTTCGTGTCATGTTGCTTTGGAATGCCCTCTACATTCCATATGTGATTGAATTGTCTCGTTTCCACCTCTTTGCCTTGCGATTTCGATCTTTCGAATAAAAACTTTGCAAACCCACCGGTCACTTTTAACGCGAACTCCTTGTCGGGGTCGAGGGGGTCGTAGAATTCGAATTTTCTCCTCCTCAAGTCAGCCACGACCAAGGTCCAGTGGTCCTGGTGTGCGATATGGGGAGGAGCAATAATCAAATCCATGTCACTTATAATTACATCCTCGTACCAGCGTTCTACCTCTCGGCCTCTATATCTCATGTCATTATCGAAAAGTTTGACAAAAAAAAACGAGCTCAGCACTGATACTCTGGGAATGCGACCGTTTCCTTTTCTAATGACTATCTCATTATCCGCGTCGCATTCTACGTGTT